AAAAAAAAAAAAAAAAAAAAAAAAAAAACCAGAGAAAAACAAAAAAGTTTTCTTTTTCGATTGAATCTGCCCGGGATCGAACCGGGGGCCTTTTCCGTTTTACGATTGTAAAGGAAACGTGCTGTTAATAGAATGTTAGTATATATACAGAGATAATAAGTAGGGAATAAGGATGTACTAACATAACCGCTACACCACAAATCCAACTTCTTGTTGACGAGACGGCGATAGAAGAAAATATATTGTGGGATTAAGTAAGTGTGGATCTAGTTGAATATTACCTCAAATAATATAAACCTTGAGAGGGAATTATATTTCTTTATTCCATTTTGCTTTATTCGAATCTGGTCTATATATAAAGTAAAGTAAATAAATCTAAAAGCTGTACTTAACATTAGATCTAGTTGAAGGAATATATTAAATTATTCCTATAGTTCTCCTCAATCGATAAAATCACTATAGATAAAGGTTGTCCTTTAACGAACTATAAACGCAAGAATCATTTAATCACTATTACCCAAAATATCAGATAGAGATATTCGTCTATATACCTAGAGATTAGATGAAGGAGATGAGATGAGGTGAGGGATACAATATATCTTATTACTATCTTTCTAAAATAGACATGCTCCTTCCTCTAGATATAACAAATACTTATAACTTCCAAACCCCATTTATACATAGATACTTTAGATATTATTCCTACTAGGTCAATAAAATCTTCCACATATTATATTTCAGATATCATAAAAATCTGTCTTTCTTCAAATTATTCCTCGATTTGTCAATTCCCCTATTTACCTACGGTTTAATAAAAGCGTCAATATCAACTCGACGGAAGAAAGAAATGTGTCCAAAAGGTACCCAGTATTGCGCCAACTCATCGTGAGATATCATTATGAGTTGGCTTTCAATGTATTTAGCTGCAAACAGTCAGTAAGAACCTCGATACAATTCTTGAAGAAGGAATACATACGGTTTTTAAAACCATGGTTCCCAATTTGACCACGACTCTTAACGATTCTTGCACCAGGCCACTCGTGTTTCCCATAACGAATCAACCCCTTTTCACCAATATCATCTGCAACCCATGAAAACTCGCCCCGAGGTACATTTGGATCTCCAGTCAACTTAATCGCGCGTAAAGAACCTTGGTAAATCCGTGCATGTTTTTTCCTTTCTTCCCATGCTTCAGGCGATTCGTCTGCTTTCCGCTCTAACATATTTGGCTCATCATATCCATCTCGTTGATCCATTAACAAAAACTCGGTGCCATGACCTGAGTAATCCCCGACCTGAAATTGTGATTTGAGTTAGCAGTTAAACAAAGGTTTCAATTTTAAAATCAATTTTCCAAACCAGTGTATCCAATAGTCGAATTTGAAGGTTTTCAATATTCCAGAAACTATGAACCTGTGGAAGGGTTAAACTATTTCAGGTGGATATGTTGTAAATGAATATACTGTCCTAAATTCGAATCAAACATATGAAATAAGTTCAAGAATCAAGAATCTTTCATGGTCGGTGCATCCCGGAATATTGGAAACTCTGGCCAAGCTTTCTTTGAGAACGCATGTGGAAGCAGGTTATAAGGTGTAGTCAGGTTTGGTGGGGTTAAAGACTTGGGGAATTTCGGGCTTGATTGTGGGGGAGAAACGGAAGATGGAACAGACAAACTTTCCGGTCGACTCATGCGCGCGACGGTGAAAGTTCGGAGTCGAAATATATCGAGAAAGATAATGCAAGTGAGAACAAACTTACAAAAATACCTCTATAAGGCTTATACTCTGTCGGAGTATATAACTTCACGTCAAGGGTTGACCATGTTTGCATTTCTTCTGCCATTCGAACCTGTCCATTCATCTCTAACCATTGTCTAATTCGAAACGATTGCTCATTTATTTGAGAACGATCCTCGGGCCGAGACCATTTAACTGCAGAGGACTGGTCGGAGATGGTAGGTCGATCTACTTGAGACTTTGCCGGTATGTTTACTGGTGGCCATTGATCCGCCCGCGGCGCGATGGAGCGGCTTCTACTTGCCAAGGATTTTGCCAGCATAAATTTCGAACATGCACGAGAATTAGGACCATCGCCCATTCGGGTCAATGGCATCTCGCCCTTGAGCCTGCGTTCAGCTTCACCCATATCTGATAGGGATCGGTCAGAATATGCATTAACATCCAATCGCAGACCGTGCCGAGACAAATATGTCCTTGGTTCAAAGTAATGAACGATGACTTCGTTATTGTCTCCCCACGCAGAAAATCGACGTGGCTTCTTTTCTGCTACAAGTCTGTGTAGTCCAATAGAGCCAGTCTCGGGGTCGTATTTGGAAATCATTAACTTTCCGAAATGGTGAATATCGGAAAACCATAGTTTGTTCCTCGGAAGGAACCAGTGAGGATCATGAGCTTTGTAAAGTTCCTTAAAAGACTCGCATGGACGAGGATGATCAAGATCGATACCGGGAACGTTCTCTTGTACGAGGCATCGCCAAAGAGAATCCGTTTTGGCCACTTCAGTTAACGTTTTGCATGTTCTTCCCAACTTTACCAAATCGCGAGGTGGAAGATAGGAAGAAATCTGGCGAAGAAGCTCAATCGGAAATCGGGCTAAACTGAGCTGAGTTTCACTGAAAGATCTGGTATCTAAAGATGGAAAATATTACTATTAGTTGTCATCCTTCTCAATCGATAATTGTCAATATTTAGAATATATGCTCAAATGGAAGACCTTGTCCTTTCCATCAGGGTAAAGATGCAACCCATAAGCCAAGAACACCATGCAAATGCCATGCAACAGAGAGAGGGACATACCCGGAAATACCAAATTTTCGCCATGAGATGATTCGGGGGAGAACTCTTCCTGTGAAGATAAAAAAGGACTCGTGTCCGGAATTTCCACGCCCTCGACTAACTGTAAAGTCGATTCAATGCCAGGATCCAACCTCCCATGCAAGTATTTTTCGTTGTTCTCCATCTGGTCAACCCTTTATGGAACGCAAGGAAATTCTTTTGCTCTGCTTTATCGAGATTCGAGCAGGACCTCTAACTTGGAAGGTGGAATGGATTTTAAATAGAATAGAGGAGTAATTGTTCTTATGACTATATCAAAATGGAACCTGCAGTACTGTAATTCTGTAGATTATGCAAGAAGATGTTGTTGGATGTGATGGGATGGAAATCTGCTTCAAAAACGACTTTCTCGATATCTCATTTGACAATAATGATGATATCCTGACTGATCATTTGACAATGCTCGGGCGAGGTTTCCTCTTTTTGTGTGATATAATATGATAAATATATCCTGGAAGAACAGGCTGGATCATCAATTAATAAGATGATGAATTTTCTTGGACTGAACTAGAGTGCTGTGTCCGTTACTCGCCCACGCACGACTCACGAGTCATGATACAGTGCCCAGGTGTGTGTAAGTGATGACGAGCTTCCTATTTCAGTATGGATATTCATCGGTTGATGTCAATGCACTAGATGAGAAAGCTTAAATTAATGTGATCTACTTCTTTTTAAGAGCATTTTATAGGTTGAGGTTGAGATGACAAGGGTTTATAAGAAGGAGAAGAAGATTCAACTTTTCGAAGGGACGTTTTGGTAATAAGTAAGGATCTCGAGAAGGAAGGTAAATCGGTTTATAAAGGAAAGAAAATATGTTATTATTATTATTGTTCTAATAATAAGTTATAGGTGGATAAGCAGGTATGTAGATATCTAATAAAGAAATTAGAAATAAGAAAGATAATAATAATGGAGATTTTTATAATAAGGTAATAAACTAGAATAAACCTCTTTGGGTTATATTTTTTATATTAATCATTACTTATCTAATCATCGATTATCTCTTCTTTCACTAGTAGGTACCGATAGGTCCGTACCTACCTAATTCCACCTCTCGAGAAGTACCGTATGTAAAATAAGTACTAGAAGGTAGGTAAAAAAAATATGAAACTCCGATGTCGCCCTCACTTCCTGATTCATTCATTCATTCCTTGTATGTCCATACCATTCACGATCCATCTATTACCTACAATCACCTGCATCAGGCCCATCCACCATACACGGTACATAGGTAGGTACCCAACCGGAAGTAACCCAACCCATCTAGGTAGTATCCAAGCATCACCTTTCATCCGTGCCACCCCGACTAGGTAGGTAGGGAGGTAGGTAGCCACCTTGGCACAAGAGCGGGCAGCATTTATTTCATTTCCAAGGTGCGCGCGCCATCGATGATCAATGCCCATCCCATCCATCATCTTACGGAAAAGGTGCCAATAGTCTCAATACTACTAATGATGATGATAATCATGGAGAATAAGAATGAATGTCGTGGTTTTATATGTATATGTATATGTATATGTAGGTACCTATATACATCCTCGAGGATACATACCTAGTAGTTACTGTCCCTACCTATTGCATGATAGTATTCGAATACATACAATAAAATCCTATGAATATCTAAATAGAAAAGCAATTGATACCTACCGGCCAGTTTTATATTAGGATACCTACCTAAGTACCTACCTACCTACCTACCTACCTACCTACCTACCTACAGAGTATAACCTAGGACTACCTACCTACCCACGAATTGAACCAGTATGAACCACCTATAGGTAGGATAGGTAGCTAATGATGCACACTCTGATATGATACAAACCTACTAGACGGGACCCAACTCCCAAGTCCAGTGACGTAAGATTAGGTACCTAGTATTAATTAGTTGTTACAACGAGGTAGGCAAGGAGCATCGTAACGCAACACAACGCAACGAAATCTCATCTCATATCAAATCAACAATCACCGTTATACTATACTACCAAATACATACAGAATAATTATTAGTATTCCAAAATTAAATATCAAATCTAAAACTTAAATAAATATATATATATATATAAATAAATAAATAAATAAACATCTATTCTTGGAAGATCCTATTCCTACTTTAATTCCTACTCGTACTTTCTCTAAAACACTTTCCAAACCTAACCACCCATTCATTTATTCACCCAAACACACAATGCCATCCACTCCATCTCCTCCCTTTTCTCCCCCTTTCCCCCTCTTCCCCTCTCCCCCTCTGCCCCCTCTCCCCCCTCCCCAAATCCACACAACCCAATCCAGCGCCCTCAACACCAGCACCAGCCAAACCAAACAAGCAGCATAACGCGAAAATCCGCC